GAATCTTACTAAGCTAAGTGGACAGTAAATGTTTTTATTATTATTGATAAATGAGTTTGTTATAAATTATACTCAATTGGTCGTTTTTGTTATAAATTATGCTCCATTGGTCGTTTGATCGCGTTTAAAGATGGAACAAATCTTGGCCATTCATTACTTTTAATTGTGATTGTCCAATCGCGCTTGAGGAGGGTATGGATCCGGACCGTCCACGCATGCGTGAACACTTTCGAGTTGTCCGATTGCGGGCACACAGATTGCCAGTATGGCCTCCTGCATGGCACCGAGTCTACATGCCTTGCCATGTAGCGCACTCCGATTCGTCGAGGCTGCTGACTTGGCAGTCCTACGTGGCACACTTTTTTTTAGTTACATTTTCACCCCCAGTTTTTTATTTTTCTTTCAAAAACACTCTCCAAACCTAAATTTTCACTCATTTTTTTCAAAATTATTTTCAGTTTCATATTCAACCTTTTTTTTTTCTTCCTAATTTTGCATTGAATAAAAATTTATAAATTTAAAAATTATATTTTTATACATTTTTTAAACTTTAAAATTAATCCCGAGCCAAATTTCGGGCTTGAGTATTGCAGACGAGACTGAGAAGTCCCATATCGAAAGGATTTTCGAAGATATGATTCACCTTCATACCGGACGGGGTATCGAGACGATGGTGTTTTTGGCACCCATTACTGGATGGGGTATGGGGACAATCGGATTAATTGTCAAATCTTGATATTGAGTCCACGAGTAGAGGGATATCCCTATGAACCCCTAAAGGTCCCAGTAAGTAGATTAAAAAAAAAGATTGATGATCCTATGCATGAAATTGAAATGTCATTTCGTTAATTATCTTAATAGGTTGATTTTAGAAAAAGTCATAACGGTAAGTATCAAATAAAGAGTTTTAAAGTTAAATGTATTTACTAAAGTAAAGGCTCCATTAGTTGTTTTCTGATTTTTACCAACATTCAGTTTTTCATATCAATGATTAGTATGATATTCTTACTGAGATAGTGTAACTCACCATTTAATTAACCATTTCAGATTAAGAAAACCAATATTCAGATCATGATCAATAAGAGGGTTGTGAGTAGTCCACCTCTCGGACTCTCTTCAAGTGCTAGTGAAGGTTACTCTAAGATACTTATTTATTCATTTTTCTTTAATTATTGTTTGTCTTTTATGAACCATGTAGAAGAGACATTCTCGTAGCTCTAATGTAAACCCTAACATTATTATTCACTTCCGCATTTAAGTTATAAATTCATTTCCTTTAAGTTTCGGGCTTTTACATTGGTTAAATCAATATTCATGTTAGATGTTAAATATCAGATGATGTAATGTTCTAACTTAAAAAATTTTAATTCTTAAATATTTTTTTAATAAAAATTAAAAACATAAAACTAAAAATTTCAATATTCATGTTAGAGATGAGGATGGTATTTGCCTGAAGAGCTTCAGTAGGAAAATTGGTAGTTGTTCTATTCTACAGGCCGAACTTTGGGGAGCCTACGATGGCCTCCAACTTGATTGGGATACCGAGTGTCGTAACATCATCCTTGAAATGGATAGCTCTCTGGTGGTACAGGTACTCACTAAGGAAGATTACGAGACTAATGCGCATGCTGCCCTCGTTCGTGCGATAAAGTACTTGCTACTACAAGATTGACATGTCCGCATTTAGCATATCTATTGCGAAGGAAATAAATGTGCTGACTGATTGGCAAATGCTGACTTCTTTCTTCATATGGGTCTCCACCCGTATGCTCAAGTACCGAATGATCTCCATCAGTTTCTCACTGATGATATCTAAGACATTTTTTGGCACATGATGTGCAAGAAGACTTCTTAATTTTCTTGGCTTCTACCTCTCTTTGTAACAAAAAAAAGACACTTTATCACCATACAATGGCCTTGTCATAACCTGAGTTGAAGATGTTGTTTGTAGACAGTGTTTTTTTTTGTTTTACTTTTTTAATTTTTATTAAAAAACTAAATTTTTATATGTAAAATATCACATCATTAAGTACATAAAATTTAATACAGATATTAATATATTAATGTAATAATTAAAGATTAAGTACAAAAGTTTTTAAAGTATAGGAACCAAAAAAATAATATATGAACCAATTTTGATATTTAAAATAATACGGAAATCAACTTAATGATTTAACCTTATTATTACAAATTCTTCCCTAAGTTTTTGCCATATGATTAGTAAATAGTGAAGACTCGTTAAGTAATGATTTTTTTTTCTTTTAAAATTTAGAATATGATCACATAATTTTTATTTTATTTACTAAATTTGAAATAACATGTTATTCAATAAAATAAAACAGAAAATTTTAAACTATATTTGAGATTAATTATTTCTTATTTATAAATAGCTATAATGAAATTTTATTTCAATATCGTTTTAGTGTTTTTGTAACACCCAAGCCCAAAATTTAGCCCCAGAATGATTAAATCATAATAATAATATCAATTAGAAAAAATTTAATTTTAATTTTTTGTTGAATTTTTGAAGAAAATTGTGTTTTAGATGTATTTGAAAATATTTTCAAAAATAAGGATCAAAGTAGAAATAAATGAAGACTTATTTGAAAAGAAATTTAAAAAATTGAGGTAAAAGTGAAAATAACAAAAATTTGGCCACGTAAATCGCCACATCAGCAACGCGGCCGGTCGCTGTGCGCCACACGCGGGTGATTTACGTGCCAGCAGATCTAACGACCTAGATCTCTGCTAAGGCGCATGGATGGCCTAGATTCGTTTCCTCTTCAAGTGCGATTGAGCAACTATATTTAATTCGATCGTGTGATCCAGATTAATTTCCCAAATAAGAACGATCTAATTACTGGGAGTGGGCCACGTGTCCCTGCACTGATGACTCAGACCGACACAAAGAGGATATTTAAGCATCTCTTCTTAGAAACCATAACCCTAGCTGTACCCGACCCCACTAGAGAAGAAGAAGAAGGGCAGCTGATAGGAAAACCAATTGCTGTTGTCGCTGCAACACCGGAACCGTCACCGACACTGGGGAGATAAGTTTTTTCCCCTTTCATTTCAGAATTTGATTTCAAGCCTCCTCACGCCCATATCGGTGCCAAAAAGCCAAAAAAAAAAG